GAGAAAGTGCCAGACTGTCTTCCAAAGGGGCTGCTTATTCATCTTTAAGGCTCACCTCCAATTCAATAGGCATGGACCTCCTACCTGCCACACGCCAGACTGACCTGCTAGCACCAACGACAAAACCTGCACACCGAAAGGCGTGCAAACTGAATAAACAGCATCTAGTGTGACAAGTGCCACGGAGGTAGACACTAGGAGAGAATTAAGTGTGAGGGGGTTTTGAAGGAGGAGCAGCAGTTTACCAGATGGATGCTAGGGGGAGGAGCTGTGGAGTACGGCCTAGTGAAGGGAAGCAGTCCTCTAGGGCTTGGGCATTGCTGGATGCATGTGGAAGAAGAAAGAAGGTAGGGACAAAGCTGAGAGCCTAGCAGAGTCTATCTGGTCCTTCTGGGCAATGGGGAATCGGTGAAAGGTCTTAGAAGCTGGGGAAAACATGTCCAGAACTGTGTTTTTAAAAAGACATGAAGCAGAATGGAAGATGGCCTGGAAATATCCAAGAATGGAGGCAGGGAGACTACTGCAATAGTCCAAGCATGACTCAAGGTTGGGATCTAGGCAAGCAAGAAGGATGGGCGGGCTACAAGGGATTCAGTCACCTCCCCTCCCCTTCCATCTAGATGGTGAGTGGAGGGAGGAACCTGGCATGACAACTTGCCGGCTTGAGTAGACAACATTGCCTTTAAGAAAGAAAGGGAACTGAGGAGCGGTAAGGGGTTTGGGAGAAAAAATAATGAGTTCTGTTTTGCATGCCGAGTTTGAGCCCCTTGAAACATCCAGACACACATGTGCCCAGTAGGCTAAAGGCTTGGTCTGGAGGCCCTATGCATCTGCATTGAGATTAATGGTAGCCCCAGATGTGGACAAAACACAAAAGGGAACACAGTGACAGGAGCACTAGGGACAGAGCCCTGTGAACACCAGCATTTAAGGAGGAAGAGGAGTCTGTGAAGGATGATGACCAAATGGGACTTACGGCCACCCCCACCCCAGCCATTTCCAACAACTAAGTCAATGACTGCCTCTTGGTAACCTTTCCCACGAGGGACAGAATTTATTATACAGGACTTCACCTGAAACTCCCACCATCCAGCAACCTCATCTACTGGGAACGCCAGCAAAATGGTAGCCGCGGGCCATTTATCAGGTCCACCCTGGGGCTGATACTGAGCTACGACTTTCCTTATCTGATTCTCAGAACTCCATTAAGTAATATTAATGGACTCACTTTACATATGAGGAACTAAGGCACAGAAACTGTAATATACCCAGGCCCCAAAAGATAGCAAATGACGAAGTAGGATACAAGCCTCATTATACAAAAAGTACCCTTCCCCACTAGGGCTCACTCAAGGCCTAAACAAAACTCCTCAGTGAGCTTATTTCTACTCTAACCTTACAAATGAGAAGGGGAGCCTATTCTGGGCCAGCAGGCAGCTGCCAAGGAAGGAGACAAACTAATAGCAGGGAAAAGAACCTGAAGCACCATATGTGGTCCTCTCAGGCAGAGCCATCTGCTTTGGGTCCCTATACTCTCACTGCAGATCATATTCTACAGCAACGGCCACTAGAAATAATGGACTTTGGTTAGCAAACCCCGAAACCAAAGCCCAAACAAAACCCAAAGTGTGTCATCTGCTTAAGAAAAGTAAACCCCAAAAGCACATACAACTAAAAATCTTCAGTTTTATTTATTTATTTTTTTAAATTGGTGCTGTAAAGGGGGACCCATGACTTCCCAGAAAAGGTAACTAGCCAGATCAACCCAAAATTGAGGTCTGGCAATCTCATCCACTTCTCGATCTTCAGTCAATCACTCTCACATCTTGTCTCTACTCCTAGGGACCTCCAATTCCAACTCCCACATTCCCAGCTCTGTTAGGCATTCCAATGGTCCCATAAGCCCAACTGTCTAAATAAATGTATGCTTTCTACTTCTCCCACCCTGTTCCCAAATAGTACCCGTGTTCTCCCAAATTCAAACCCTTAGAACCACTTCCTGCCTCTTCCCTTATTAGAGACACCCAGTTAGGACTTGGAGGACTTGGCATCTCAAACATCTTCCCAACCTTCCCCTCACCTTCCATTCCCATTCTATTATCTACCCTAGGCCCTCAGCTCCACCTCAAAACCATCCTTCTGAAAATTAACTTTTGATCATTTCACTTCCTTACTCAAGAATCTCCTTGAAGTCCCTCATGCCCAAATTACTCAGACTGGCTTCCAAGGCTGACAAGGGCAGTGGTTCCACTGTAGAGCCCCACACGGGGTGTAGAATTACTTGAAAATAGAAAAGAAAAAAGCAAGGAAGGAAGGAAGGAAAAGGAAGGAAAGAAAGGAACTGACCTGATGCCCTCACTAGGGTCTTTAAGTGAATCAGTCCCTTATGATACATAAGATGACCTCCTCACTCATTCTGTTGCTTTCGGTGTTGAGGTGATGTCATTATTTGTATATTACAAAGTTTCATCAATTTAGTTAATATGTATAAAATACAGTCCTTCAGTGGTGGAATCTTTACAATGTAGAATGAATCTGTGGTATTGCAGAGATTAACTCCTGATCTCTTTGCAGAAGACCAATTTCCAAACTTGCTCATCTTTTCTGCATTGAGGAGAGGCTGCTAGCTGCACACACGCTCAGCAACTTTTGCAAATGGGTAACACTTCCTTCATTTCTAAGTTTGCTTTATAATATGTCTACTATGGTTTGTTTTTTTTGTTTTTTAAAGATTTTATTTATTTGAGAGAGAGCATGAGATGGGGGAGGGTCAGAGGGAGAAGCAGACTCCCCGCCGAGCAGGGAGCCCGATGCGGGACTCGATCCCGGGACTCCAGGATCATGACCTGAGCCGAAGGCAGTCGCTTAACCAACTGAGCCACCCAGGTGCCCCTACTATGGTTTGTTTTTAAAGTTCTGTTTTTTGCGTTATAACATATATATTAATATATAACTGCAGAAATAAGTATATTGAGGCTGTGTTCTTGATACATTTTTTTTTAAGATTTTTTATTTATTTATTTGAGAGAGAGAGAGACAGCGAGAGAGGGAATACAGCAGGGGGAGTGGGGGAGGGAGAAGCAGGCTTCCCGCCGAGCAGGGAGCCCGATGCGGGGCTCGATCCCAGGACCCTGGGATCATGACCTGAGCCGAAGGCAGATGCTTAACAACTGAGCCACCCAGGCGCCCCGATACATTTTTGTTGTTAAGGATCCAGGAGCACCTGGGTGGTTCAGTCATTTAAGCCTCTTGATTTCCACTTGGGTCGTGATCTCAGGGTTGTGGGATCGAGCCCCAGGCTCAGCGATGGGCATGGGGTCTGCTTGAGATTCTCTCTCCCTCTCCCCCCCACTCTTAAAAAAAAAAAGATACAGGATTCAAAGTCTCTAGACCAATGTACCTACTTCACTCAAGCTCATCATTCCCACTTACTCTAGTGCCTTCCAGTATCACCACTTGTATGTCCCATACGCATTTTAAATTCAACATCTCAAACTGAACTCCTGATATCCTCCCCCTACCCAAATCCACTCTCTTCCAGCAGCCTTTCTCATCTCAGCAATTTCAAAGCCCAAAGTCTTCGTGTGCTTCATTCTGGTACCCCTCATCCAACTGTCCCTCAGCAAATCTCACAGTCTTACCCGAGTTCAGTTCCCTTCCCCCACTCCTCAGCATCAGTCTTCAGCACCTCCACCTGTCCTAAGTTTACTCACTTGGGGCCTATCTCAAGTACCACCCCTTGTTCATCTTGGTATCTCCTGCAGCACCCACCACAGATCTTGGCGAGCATGGATACTCAATACTCTTACTTGTGTACTTATTTTTCAAATGAACTGAATGCACAAGAAACTGATCTGAAGGACAGAAGCTAAAGCAGAAATCTGGAATCTCCTTTACTCATCAACTCCCTCTTGGGTGCAATAAAGAGGCAATGTGGGCATCTCCTGGGTTCTCAAACTTTAGTTATATTAGAATCACCTGGGGCACCTGGTAAACATACAAAAGGTGCAGGTCCTACCCTCAATGCACCCTGGCCCGTCCTTCATTAGCTTCCAGGTGATTCTAACACACACCGGAGTTAGAGAACCACCATCCTTGAAGATGACTAAAAATAGCTTAGGCTTAAGCACTACCAAACCAAGCCCTGCACAGTCACCACACCTGGGGGCAGGCCCAGTTCGCCCACAGCAAGCAGGATCCTTCAAAAGGGTCCTGAAGAGGAGGTAGCATCTTTACTTTCTTAGAGGGAAAGCTTGACGATCCAAAACCCACTGACAGCGGGCAGGAGAGCGGACTTTTAACTCTCTGGACAAATGACTGTAACCTTGGACCAGTTCCCTACCCTCGGTATCTCAGTCTGCCTGCACTATGGAGTTAATACTTACACGTTATTTGTACGGATGCTACAAGAACAAGGTCAGTCGCTTAAAGTACTACAGAAAGTTGCCTACAAGCATAAATTATTTTCGGCCCTACAGCCAAAGCTTCTCAACTTTGAAGTTGTGTAGACCAAGTGGAGGCTCTCTGGGTTTCGGGGGAAAGAGCTGGGGGGGCCTCCCCCCACCCCCCGCTACCGGGCTTTCTTTCGGCACGTCCCTTCCAGTATCCCGGCCGGCCCAGGGCGCCACAGGCGCGGGTCGGTACCGGACGACCCTGCGGTCTAGGCTAGCCCGGGGATCAGGGCTGCTCGCGAGCCCAGAACCCACGTGGCCCCGGCCGGGGGGGGCCTCCGCCTGCAGGTAGCCCCTCGTCGGGCCTACCTGGGCCGAGGTGCTGAAGCTGCGGCGGAGAGCGGCGCCCGCAGGACGGGCGAGCGCGGAGAACATAGTTGGAGCGGGCGGGGAGCGGAACGGCAGGAGAAGGCGCAGGCGGCTGGCAGGTGACACGAACGACCTCCACACCGCACAGGGCCTCCCGGCTCCGCTCTGCCCGGCCTCGCGAGAGTGGCCCGGCTTCCGGCCCCACCCCCCTACCAGATCTCGCGGTAGCACGTCCATCTGGGCTGTGGAGGAGGAAGTCCGGGGTCGCTTCCGGCGCGCAGGGAGCGCAGTCCGGGCGGGGTCGTAGCGTGTCTCGCGTTCCGTGCGGCAGGTGGGGGAGACGCGGTCGCGAGTGGGAGGGAGAGTCCGCACCACAGAGGTGGAAGAGGACGGGATTTAGGCTGGAAGCGCCTTAGAGGAGCCATTTCCAGGTGGGGCCCCAGACAGACGCTCTGACAAGGAGACAGGTCAAGGTCGCGCTGCAGGCCCGGCGGTGTGGGTGCGGTCCGGGCCCTAGACCTCAGCCAAAACCACCCCTCCTACTCCTGGAAGCAGGAGGGGCTCCGAGCTCCGGAAAGCTCTGGAAAGGGAAGTGGGGAGAGAAGGCTGAGTCCTGGGGGTGGGGTGGGGGGATGGGGTCTTCTCTGATCAGTCACTTCAATGCACAGCGCCCTACCTCCCCCCCCCCCCACGCTGCCCACCGGCCAGTGCCCTCGTCCCTCAAGGTGCACAGGACCTTCACAGACACCCCCATTGAGAATGGCAGACGCAGCACAGTGGGCGAGGCTCTGTTCTACGAGTTTACAGGAAAGCAGCCCCGTGTTACAGACGAGGAAACTGGTATCCAGGTGGTAACTTGCATGGCACCCGATCCCTAATCCTCAGGTCTCCGCAGCAATGCTATGAACACGGCTACATTGTTGCTGCTGTAGGTACGAAGAAACTGTGGCTGAGCCCAGTTAAGTGGATTTGTTGAGTTTGTCCAGACAGAAAGTAAAGATACGGTTCTTGCTCCCAAGGAATTTAAATTTATCATTTAAATTTGTGAGTTGAATTAGAAGCTTCATTTCCCCCCACCCCCAACTATTTTCTGGGTATATAGAATTCCTCAAAAAGTTCAGTCAAGTGGGGCAGATAGATGTGCAGCAGTTGTTGATGTAACAAGATCTGCCCATTTTCTGCCTTTTAAGGAGCTGAGTCTACTGGGGGAGACAGGTGTATTGCAGGCAGCATGATAGGGGCAACACTAGGAAAGTTATGAGGTGTGGTGGGAACAGAGGAGATGCATCTAACCCACATTTGGGGTGGGGGCCATTTGAGAAGGATGTCAGGATGAGACATGTAGGCGGATACACTCAGGAAGGAGTTACTCAGTGGGACCATTCAACTCCAGAGGAGGGAGAGATCCTTGCCTGGGCATGGGAGTTCAAGTTTTAGATGAGAAAGAAGAGCCCAAAGTGAAACCTGGGGGTAGAAAAGCCTAAGTCTACAGATGTTGAATAGATCCTCTCCAAAATTTTGGAGTTGGGGACATGCAGATGAGCAGTGTCCTTTATCTTATCACTAACTGTTCTCTTGTTCATTACCCCTGTATCTTACCACTAGAACTGAGAGTTCCTTGTGGTCAGATAGGTTTCTTATCTCTGAGTCTTTATTGTCCAGCCACGTCACCAGGTTGACAGTGGGTCTCTGAGTTTTGGAAGAGTTGAATAGTTTTAGATAAGGCTGGGAAAAGCAGGTTGCAAAAAACCAGATTGTGCAGGACCTCTGAATGTTCGCTGCAAAGTTTGTATTTTATTCCTTGGGCAGCAAGTGTTTATCAGAGGTTTTTATGATGCCACTGGCACTATGAGGAAGATTGGACTGACCTTGGCGTGCCAAGTTTTCTAATGGAAAGATGTGGAGGGCAGGGAAATTGTTCAGGAGGCTGTCTTAGGAGATGACAAAGATCTGAGTTATGATGGTGGCCATAGAAATAGAGGGAATGGGGCCAATGAGGAAGCAGTCTCAAGAAAAGAATTGATTAGTCTATGCCTATCTGGGCTTAAGAAATGAATACAAGGGATGAGGAACATCAGGCTGAGAGAAGTATATATGTGCAGAAACAGGGGACTTGGGGTTGTGGGGAAGGAGAGCTGGCTGGAGGCAAAAGATAAAGAGCTCCATTTAGATGGGTTGAGTTGGAAGTGATGGTGAGTCGTCCACATAGAAGTACCAGTGGGCAGATGGGGAGTTACTCCAACGTGAAATGTGGGATTGAACGCCCAAGAGAGGCTAGGGCTGAAGGCATCCCTGTAGAGGGGAGAGGGAAGGCCATGAGAAATAGGAGAATCACAGATTCTCAGGCTCACTCCCAACACCAGGGGCTCGAGTCCCTCCCCCTCCCTGCCAAGTGCTCTACTCAGGCCACCCCAAACAACTTGACTGTTAGGAAAGCCCGTCTCACAGTTCCCAGCTGCTTCCTTTTCAATCCCAAGATGGTTCATAACGGTATTAACAGCTACTGTATTAAGCACTGATTCTGTGCTCTGCTTTGCATGTGTGACTGTTACATCGAACATGGTGGGGGGGGGGCTCTCAGGAAGCCCCTTGCAGTCCTAGAACAGTTTTGTCATCCCACACTTTGTTGCTTGCTTTCTTTGCTTGCTCTTTGGGTTACATCGAGGCACCAGAACAGACTCGCTGCCATCGCCTTCATGTCCAGTTCACATTAGTTGTCAAATCTCAGCTTGATTCAGTGGCAGAGCTTCCCTTCCCCTCAAGCTTGCTTTAGGCTCCCACCCTTGGAGGGAAGGGTGCTTGGCTTCTCCATTTCCCCCTCTTGCTTCCTCACAAGCCCCCTCCCCTGTTAGATTGTGGCTTCAGACCCATGGGGGTTGTAGGAGTAGAGATGGGGGCAGGAAATTTCCCCTGTCATCGGCATTAGTATTCTCTGAGCTGGACAGGAGTTTGTAGCTATCTTCCATGTGGTACTTTTGTGGTGTGTTTCCTTTGACCTAGGTGGTGATGCCTCAGTCTTGCTGCTTTCCGTAGTTCCTTCAGCCCCTGGTTTCTGGAATTCCATACTACCTGCAGTTGGCCCATCATCCCTCCAGGTGGCAAGTCTTGGGCAAAGTCCCTTTACCATGGCTTCCAGTTGACCACCTCTCTTGCCAGCTAGCCAGCCTCAGATTTTCCCAGGCTGGGGCCCAGCGCCAGCCTCTCTGCCTGCACTAGCGGCAGAGGGCACAGGCCAAGCTATTCTAAGGGTTTCCTGGTTTCTTGAGTTGTTTCAAGAAAGCTAAGGCTTGTGAATGTTGGAATTCAGAAGGATGCTAATGGAGGGAGAAGGCTTTGAGATTGCCGAAAGAGAGAAGGTTTAGGTGGGAGAGGATAAGGTCAGAGGATTCCAGGAGAAAGCATGAAGCCCCATCACTCCCACCCCCCAGGGGCAGCTGCCTGAGGAGGGGTGTTCACACTCAGTGGCCTTAACATTCCCAGGCAAGAACGAGGAAATGAGAGAAGGTGCTCCATGGGGACCCAAGGAGGGTTGCGGAGGTTTGGATAACTGTTACAGCAGTTGGGGAAAATTCTGGGCAAATGAACAGTGACATGGGGATTTGCTGGTAGCTGTGGAGGCTGAGCTGAGTTCTGCAGTGTGTACTTTCTGTGTGTCCAAGTCCACATGGTTTCCACAGCCCAGACCCCACACCAAGGTCATCGATGTGCAGGTGGGGCTACACACCCAGGCTTCTATCCACACGTACACACAAACACGCATATTCATATCTCTGAACACAGAAACACCTGGATCTACATGGGATTTATTCTTATGGCCATATAGTTTACATACAATACAGTATACAGATCTTAAGTGTTCAGTTGGATGGTTTTGACAATTTACACCCTTAACCACTGCCCCCCAAAACAATCTGTAGAACATTTTCATGTTCTAGAAAGTTCCTTCATGCTCCTTTCAGAGGAGCGGAGGGTGAGGCTTAAGCCCGATCAATGAGCAGAGGAGAAGCAATGCTGAGGGCAGAGTTGGAGGAGGTGAGACCAGATGTTACGGTCACAGCTTTTGGGAGACTGCATTACAGTTGACCAGCCCCTATGTCTGCCAGGTGAATGGCATGGACAGACCTGTCACTCTCCCAGGACTGCAAGGGTCCCTCTCAGGTGTGTAGTGGGCCTAGGTTTGGGGACACGGAAGTGAGGGCAAGATAGAAGACAAGGGACAGGGATGTGGGCACCTGGGTCTGGGCCTCTGCCCATACCTGTTGCCTCAGAAATCCAGAGATTCTAGCAATCACTAATGATAGGAGCGGGTGCTCCTCTGAACTGAGAGACTGATCTCAAGACCACTTCTGACCTCCACAGCTCGGGGGTGCTCTAGCCTGGAACTATGTCCTCTAGCTTTGTCAAGGTTCAGGCCATAAGGAAGGTGTCTGGCTGTGATTGAGGAAAGACCATACCAGATCCTGGGGGATCCTGCCCCTCAGGCAGCACCCGAGGCTCCCTCCACTTAGAAACGTGGTCAGCTCCTTGGCCTGAGATGCTCTGAACGGTGCTCTCCATCTGTGGGATTTGTAGCTGTCTGAGGATCCTGGGCGAAATTGGGAGGAGAGAACTAGGGTAGAAGTAAAGGAATGTCTATTTCCCCGAGCTCCTGCTCTATGCCAGGGCCGGTGGTAGTGTTAGACAATTGGTGTGTGTCCTCTCGACGTAACCTTCCTACAGCCTTTCCAGTGGAATCCCGTGTAAACTGCCTCCCTTTACAGGTGAGGCTGTTGAAGTCTGTCACTGTATTAAGCCTTGGTCATCTTTGCACAGCCTCCTGCTTCATACAGAGAACCAGGGTGTAGTGGGGTTCTCTCTGGACCCTGAATCCTATCTGTGCAGTCCTCTGGTCCCTGCTCAGTCTGAGCCAGGAGCCCAAAGTACAGCTTATGGCCTGGTTTCTCCAGGAGCATTGTGCCTCTCCTCTCCTCTCCACCGGAAGCAAATGCCCATCAATTGTGTCGACCCAGACTGCCTGAGGCCGAGCAATAGACCAAACTCTCTGTCCTGGAAGTCCTTTGAGAAGCCTGATGTGAGGCCTGGCCTCTGACAGCCATGCTGTCAGTCAGAATGAAAGGCCTCATGTGTTGGTGAAGCCCAGGGAGGCAAGAAGGGCTGGGTCTGGCCAGTTTCCAGCTTCATCTCAGGCTATCACAACCCCTAAGGAAACATCCCTTCCCAGTTGGTTTGTGTTCCCCAAATATAGACATGTGTTCTCACTGGAGCTGCATTCAGCAGCTCAGCTGTGTCTAGACAGCTCTGGGCTGACAGAGAGCCATACACAAACCTCCTGGTTTGGAGAGAGGCCAGGCCCCTGCAGGGGAGGGTGAAGAACCTTCCTACTGGTGGGTGTCCAGTATGCAAGGACAAGGCTTGTGCTGGCACCCTGCTCTCTTGACAGAGTTAGCGGCTTTGCTTGCCACCCAAAAAGCTGTGTGGATTTCCCAGACTGGTCAGTTCATAGGAATATTGGTCTCTCTGACCCCATGAAGCCAGATCCTCAAAGTGCTTCCTCTTACCACTCTTCCATGTGCCTGCCCCATTCACCTGCAAGAACCGTCACACTGAATCCCTCCTGAAAGTCTCAAAAAGTGCTATCTGTGCTCAAAGAATCTACAGGGGGAGGTCTTAAACTTGCCATTTTGATGCCACTGTTTTGAACAGGTCACTAGGAAAAGGATACTTGGTAGAAATCATTACATATGAAACAGTGGGCAGAAGCTATACTCGGTTGATGCTGCTAGGATAAAAATCTGACTGAGGAATCAAATCTTTATTGTAAAATTCACACAAGAAAAAGACTTGATCTTGGGAAAACTGATTTTGGCTAAACAAAATTGAAAGTGGAAAAAAATAGGAATTGGTTAACTATGAAATAAAATCAAGGAATTAAATTGGCTTAATGGAACTCACTAAGGAAAATACTTTTGGCAAAAACTTGTCCATATTAGTTGAATGGTCTATGTAAATGCTCAATGGCAAAATATTCTTAGGGTGCAAATGGCAGAGCCAAGAACATCTTAAACCTTGTAGAGTTTGGAGTAACGCTGAAAGGGGGGTGAGCACTCTGTCGTCCTCCTGCCCAGGCTAGCAGCACCCCGATCTCAGCTCACAGGGCTGAGTCCTCTCTCTCTGCTATTAGGTTCAGAGACTGTTCTTCCTCCTGCGCTTTATCAGCAGGTGAGGGCAGTTCTTGCTTGACCAAGGAGAGCTCTCCCTTGGGGAAGGAGAGAAGTCTGGAAGAGTTGATCCCTGGGGCTAGGTTTTCACCTGGATGCCTGGAGACCATCCTGCCACTCAGGAATAAAGGGATGGAAGTTGCAGTGGGGAGAAAGCAGGTGGGAGTTTGAGGATGGGCTCAGCTACAGACGAGATAGGTGAGGAGCCAACGTTTAGGTTGGCCTATGGAAGCTGTGGGGTTAGATGCAAAGCTTGCCCTTTCTCCTCTACTCACTACCTCCCTAATGTTCTGAGCACTGGGCTTTCAGAGACAGAGGATCTGGGATCTGACTGGGGGGGGTCAGAGTGGAGAGGTCCTTAGGCACAATCCACCTGTGGCATCTGTATGTATGGCGTCAAGTCAAGATGGCCCCATTAGTGAAGAAGGCAGGAATGGTGACTAACAATTTGTTCATTCAATGCATGCTTATTGAGCACCATTCTGCATGAAAAATCCTGGGCACTGGGTGAGGATATAGTGAACGAGGAGGACAAGGTCCCTGTCCTTATGACCCGTACATTCCAGTGGGAGAAGATTGACAATAATGCAAGCAAACAAACGAGTGCAGTAATGTCGGATGGTGGCAAGTGAGGTGAAGACCAAGAAACTCAGTTTCAAAAGATTCCCCTAACAGCCATGTAAAGATTAGACTGTAGGGAGAAAATAGGAAGCAAGAAGTACAGTTGGGGAGTATGACATCTTCAGAGAGAGAGGACAGTACCTTAGTCTAGGATGTTAGCCCCGGAGCTGGAGTGAAGTTGATAGGTTTGGAATATATTTAAGTACTGAAGCTAACAGATTGGATGTGAGGGGCTGGGGGGAAGAAGGATTTGGGTCATGGACTTGAGTAACCAGGTGGATAATGGTGCGTCCTTCAAGGCTGAGAAAATGAAAAGACAGATATTGGAGGTGTGGGCACGTGTGAATGAAAAGTTCTGTTTGGGCTGTGTTACATTTGAGATGCCCATGAAGCATCCAAGTGGAGTCCAGATCAGTGGAGAGATCAAGCAGGGGCTATGATTTGGGACTCACTGGTATACAAATGGGATTCAGATCTCTTAGACTCTAGATCTTAGGATGGTGGTTCTCCAGTAGCGGTGACTTGCCCCCTTCTTCCAGGGGACATTTGGCAACATCTGGAAGCATTTTTGGTTGTTACACCTGGGTGGGGGGAGGTTTGCTACTGGGTGGAGGCCAGGGATGCTGCTAAACGTCCTGCTATACATTCCCCCCCCCTCCCCCCCACAGCACAGAATTATCTGGCCCCGAATGCCAGTGGTGTTGAGGTGGAGAGCCCTGTCCTAGAGAGAGTGTAGACAGAGAAGGAAAGAGAGGACAGCCCCAGCACCTACTTAACGTGAGGAGGTAGAGCCTCCCGCACGGAAGACTGAGTAGCAACAATCAGAGGTAGGAGAGAAGCCTGGAGAGTGGAGTGTCCTGGAAGTAGAGACCATTGGGAAGGAGGGGTGCTAAACTGGGCTAAATGCGGACAGACTCCATCCTTCGAGCCCAGAGAGAAGCTACGAATGGCTTAGGCAAGGTCATCGTTGATGACCTTGATTAGAGCAATTCCTGTGGTTTGATGGGTTAGAAGCTCCAGGGGAGAAGGTTGCATTTCTTCCCTGATCAGAATGTCTCATGTGTGTGCTTTCATTAATCCACACACAGCAGGGAGGTTCTGTTATCCTGGCTTTACAGAAATGGCAGTATTACTATTACCCCCATTTTATAGAGGTAGAAACTGAGGCATGGAGAGGCTAATTACTCCCCATGGTCAGGCAGCCGACAGTAAGTGGCACGGCCAGGAGAGTTTGGAGGTGAGGAATTGGAGGCAGTGAGAAGTGTCTCCGTAAAGTAGAACAGAGATGGGTACAGAGGATGTTTGCTGCTGATACAAATGATCCATGTGGAGGCTGAAATTGACCCTGTTGGAGGGGAGGCTGAGAACCAAAGTCTGAGTTCGTGAGAAGGATCCCGGGGCCCATATTGAAGGGTTGACCTTTCCCAGGAGCATGATACCAATAATTCTAACTATTTTGAGGAAGATTACCCCTAGACTCAGCTTCTCTCCCACATGCCCCCTGCTGGCCTCCAGAGGCCTGCTGGGCAGCTCTCTGTAGCAGCCCCCCCCCCCCCCCCCGACCCCTGCTAAAGGGTGGCCTCCCTGTAGGAAGCTGCTGCACAGGCCCAGCCCCTCCCGCTCCGTGTCCTTGGGACACCAGAGGCTGGACGTGCTCAGGAACCAGGACAGCAAGTAAGGGCAGCCCTGCAGTCAGGAACCAGAGCCCAGGCTGGCTGGGCAGTTCGATCGGTACACATCAGCGATTTTCCACCCAAATTTGGCCGCCTCCATCCTGATCCTAAGCCTACAAGGCCCCGTCCCAGGGTCTTTGCTCATCACTCTCTCCCTGCGATCACCACACACACCAGCCTCCTTTAGACTCTATCAAGTGCGAAACATTCTTGCCTTCTTCACCCTCTCTCCCTTCTCTACCTGGCTAAGTCTCGCATAGCCTCCTGAATCAGGAGCTAGAGAGGGCTGTCTGAGAGGTGACTGCTGACAGCCCCAACTAGATGAGGCCCTCCCGTTAGCTCATCCTCCAACACTGGATGCTGACTCTTCGGTAGCACCGTTCCTATGTATAATGTGTTTTTTTTGGTGCAGTGTCTGTATTCCATGCTGGGCTGGAACCTTCGTGAGGGTAGTCTAGTTTACCAGTTATTTCCGGGGCCTGGTATACAGTAGGTGCTCACTAATTATTTGCTGATGGAGGAACTGAATCGCTAACTGCAGTATAGCCTACTTGGTACTTCTCTGGCTCCTACATGCTGTGTTCAGCACTTCATTCTCCTCGACACACATTTTACTACAGGTTCTTGAAGCTTTCCTGATCACCCGCATGATTCTCATCTTGATTTGAAGGTGTGTAAAGGAGTTTAATCCAGTATCTTTGGCCATTCACTTAAAATAGAAAGAGGAACTAAGCTTTTACATTATTGATTCTTCCCAGTAGGATGGCTGGTTTGGTTTTATGTGAACCAACAGAGCTTTACAACATCTTGAATCAGGTCACAAAACTATCCCGACTGACTGAACCCAACTATCTCTGCTTATTGGGTAAGTGCTTTAAAAAAAACTGTGTTGTGTTCTGTATCCTTCCAATACTATTTTAGGTGAATCACCAAGCTTATGGGGATTGGGGAATAAATGACTATAGGAAACTCTTAGACTCCTTTGACATAGCTTAAAATGCTACTACTAATTGTCACTTGACTTGGAAATAACTCCAGATTAAATTTAGAAGTTCTCAGAAGACTTGTGTTCTTGTTTAGTGAAACATTTTGAACATCTAACAAATATATAGTAAGACTAATAAATGCCCATGTACCCACCGCTCAGATTTAACATAAATGTTATGCATTGATGTACCCCTCTTTTGTACCCCATCCCAATCCCATTGCTTCTCCTCCCCAAAGATGACAGCTTCTGTACTTTTTTTTTTTTACATTTTTACTATAGATGTAGGCGTCCCAAAATGTGTGGTTTAAACATTTACACAAATTGTACCGTAATGTACAATTATTCTGCAACTTGCTTTTTCTTGAAATTTTGGAGATGCCCAAGTCTAAATGTGAAGATCTGTTTTAACTGTTAGTTAGGGTAGTAGACATTCCTAATCAGTTGTGGTGTGTTGCTTGCATTGTTTCTGTTATGAACAGTGTTGCACTGAAGAACCTTGACCTCTTATTTACATGCAAGAGTTTCTTCAGGATACCTACCTAGAAATGGAATTGCCAAGTTGCAAATTCTGCTTCATTACATTATTGTCAAATTGCCCTCCAAAAAGATTGTATCAATTTGCATTCTCATCATCAGTGTAAGAAACATACCCACCAATACCTGGCTTTTTCAGCCTTTAAAATTTTTGCAGTCTGATTGATGTGAACTTGTATTATGATGTTTACTCCCCCAATTTAAAAAATTGTGATAAAATGCACATAACATAAAATGTGCCATCTTAACCACTCTTAAATGTACAGTTCAGGGGTGTTAAATATGTTCATCATGTTATACTGCCTTATGGGCACCACTTTCCATCTCCATAACTTTTCCTCTTGTAAACTCTAAAAGGAACTCTATACCCATTAAATACTGTCCTTCCTCCCATCCTTTAATCCCCTGAAAATCCCCATTCTCTTTTCTGTCTCTATGATTTTGACTACTGTAAGTCCTGTTAAGTGGAATCCTATAGTATTTGTCTTTTGGCTTATTTCACTGAGCATCATAATGTCCTTGAGGTTTGTCATGTTGTAGCATATTGCAGAATTTTCCTCTTTAAGGCTGAATAATATTCCATTGTATGGATATACCACATTTTGCTCATCCATTTATCAGCAGACATTTGGATTACTTCCACATCTTAGCTATTGTGAATGATGACGTTATTATCATGGGTGTACAAATATCTCTGAGACCCTGCATTCATTCATTCGTCACTCATTTATTCACACATCCATTTATCATTCATTTATTTATATATTTATTCATTTATTTACCTATTCATTTATTCATTCGTTCATTTGTTTATGGTATATAAACCAGAAGTGGAATCACGGGATCTTTTGGTAATTCTATTTGTAATGTTTGAAGAGCTGCCATATTGTTTTCCATAGCAGCTGTGCCATTTTACATGAACCCAAGGGTTCGCAAGTTTCCAATTTTTCCACATCATTGTCAATGCTTGTTATTTTCTGGTTTTGGGGGGATAGTAATCATTCTAATAGGAGGGAGGGAATATCTCATTATAATTTGGATTTGCATTTCCCTAACGATTAGTGATGTTGAACATCTTTTCATGTACTTCTTGGCCATTTGTATGTTTTTGGAGAACTATCCAAGTGCTTTGCCCATTTTTGAATCAGGTTTTTTTTTAACTGTTGGGTTTTTAGGAGTTATCTACATATTCTGGGTATTAATCCCTTATTAAGATTTAATTGTCATGAAGTTCAGTTTTTTTTTTTTTTCTTTTGTTGCCCATGCCTTTGATGTCCTATCCAGGAAATCATTGCCAAATCCAATGTCATGAAGATTTTGCCCTATGTTTTCTTCTTCAAGTTTATACTTTTAGGTCTTACATTTAGGTCTTTGATCCATTTTGAGTTAATTTGTGTATGTGGTGTTAGATAAAGGTCCAACTTCATTCTTTTGCATGTGGATATCCAGAGGGAGAGGGAGAGAGAGAATCTCAAGCAGGCTGTATGTCCAGTGTGGAGCCAAATGTGGGGCTTATCTCACGACCTGAGATCATGACCTGAACTGAAACAAGAGTTGGATGCTCAGTCGACTGAGCCACCCAGCTGCCCCTCATTGACATAATTTTTAATACATACAAATATGTAGTTTTAGTTTCAGAACCTAATATAGGCTTGACAATCAAAGCCTTCGTTTTGGAAGAAAGGTCTTAGGTCCCATTCAATCTCTAGGAAAATATTTTCACAGACTGCAGTATTTTTATGCCATTAAAAAAATATATATAAGGTGCCCCCATAGCAACACCAGGATAGTTAAAATTCATTTGTGGCCTCACCTGTAGAAAGAGGCGGTCATGGGACAGTTTGTTAAAACTCCACTCTCGGAATTTTTTTAAAAAGATTTTATTTATTTGACAGAAAGAGAGCATGTGAGTGCACAAGCGGGGCCAGGTAGCAGGGCCCTCTGCTGAGCAGGGAGCCCCATGTGGGGCTTGATCCCAGGACCCTGGGATCATGACCTGAGCCAAAGACAGACGCTTCACCGACTGAGCCACCCAGGCGCCCCAATCAGATTTTTTCATCAGTGCTTTTCCTGATCTTTCATATCGTACGGCCAAAATTTGAAACCTGCCTCAAAGAGATCATCCGATAAAAGAAATGAAATCTAAAAGTGATTATTTTGGAATAGAACCCAGGAGATCAGAATGGTTCAAGATTCCCTACTGGGACCATACTTTATCTTTTACTGCAACGCGTAATGATTATCAGCAAGAATTGCCAAAAATCCTACGTTGCGTGCTTTCATACTCTCCGGTGACTGGCCAGAGAAGCTACAGAAAAGTTTGGGAGTCCATACCCTTTGTAATGCAAGTGCCCCCATAGGCTGAATTGCAAGATAAATACCATTCATTTGAGGCCTCGCCTGTAGAAAGCTGTCGTGGGACACCCAGGACACCTACTAGTTTGTGAACATCCCTGAAAAAGCATGATTTTGTAAAGATTTTATTTAAGTCCTCTCCACACCCAACGTGGGGCTCGTACCCACAACCCTGAGATCAAGAGTTGCAAGTTGCATTGAATGAGCCAGCCAGGCACCCCAAGTGTGAATTTTTAATCCAGATTATACTTGCGTTTCACCAGTCTTTTTCACTGTATTTATAGGAAGTTGCAGCTGGCTAGCTAACAGTCCTACCGCCTCTCTTATCCTGAGTTTGTTCTCAAGCTGTCTATGGCTTTGGAATCTCACCAGTGATATTCTGTATCATTTGAAGGAATAATCCTGCCTCCTCCCTCCAGCTTTGCAGTTTCCAAATATCACTTAAGAGTTTTTTTTATTCAGCTGAGTAGCTGAGTATGGACAGCAACCACCTATAAAGAAAGGGTTTTCTCAAATACATGATTTAACACTATGATTTAGGAAGTAGATGTACTAAAATAGGCCAGAAAAAATTACTGATGGTTGGTATTTGTGATAAAAATCCATTCAATATAGAGCCTAGTTGTTGATCTCTTGCCAAATCAAAACTGAGAGCTGTGAATTTACTATATCCATTAAAAAGAAATAACCTATGAAATATAGATTTTGGCTTAGATAGAAGATGGGAAAATCAAAATCAATGTATCGAACCTGCATGTTTCATTTGCTCACAAACTTATACACACTAAGATTCTACGAAAAAAAACTATTGCAGCAAATAGAACTGCCCTTTTGATTTTTGCTTGATTTCTTCATTGACCCATTAGCGTGCTGTCAGAAAACTGCCTTTTTGCAAATAAGCCTAAAAGTATCCTTCCAAAGAGACCTATATAAATATTCATATATAGATCTAAAGTATTACTGTTCAACATAAATGTTATTTCTAGAAAAAACTTAACAGCAAAAGTTAGAACAACCAACAACGTATGACATCTTCAGCCACTAAAAAAACACCAAGTCAAAAAAAATTCAAAATCACTGTTTTTATGATAATATATGTAAATATTGATCAAAACTGAGGAAGGAAATACCTGGATTGACACATGTCAATAGTTGGAAGAATTTTTGTTCAATTTAAATGTCTTTTCTCTTAAAAAAAAGATTTAAGTGCTAACCTATAAAGCAGGCAAATTCTTCAAGTAATTTGCTGTTAGGAATGCCGACTTTTATAGAGCCGAACAAGGAATGAGAATAAACTAAAATGAAACAGGAGTGATAGACACAGGGGAAAAAACTGACCAGTTGTAGCTGGACAGATACTACTACATATCATCCTGGCCCACTCATTTCAATTAAATGCATGAGCTAACAGATTCGGTGTCTGCTGATTTAGTATACTAACTCCCTTAGATTTGCTAAAATTCCTGCGACAATCAGTAGGCACACATGAAGTCTTAAGGAAAAGACTACCACTTAAAAATCAGCATTGGGGGCGCCTGGGTGGCTCAGTTGGTTGAGCGACTGCCTTCGGCTCAGGTCATGATCCTGGAGTCCCTGGATCGAGTCCCGCATCGGGCTCTCTGCTCGGAGGCGAGCCTGCTTCTTCCTCTGACCCTCCCCCCCCTCTCATGTGCTCTCTCTCTCTCTCTCTCTCATTCTGTCTCAAATGAATAAATAAAATCTTAAAAAAAAAAATTTAAAAAAAAATCAGCATTGGACACCAACTAAAGCAATCTTTAAAATATTTTTATTATCCACTATTACTGTGAATGAATATAAACTGTAATCAGTATTCCAAATTAAGAACTCTAGCCTTGTCCAAAGTTTAATGACTTCTGGGGGCACCTGGCTGCCTCAGTAGGAGTAGCGAGGGACTCTTGATCTCGGGGTATGAATTCAAGCCCCACCTAATGACCAGAAGTCATTAAACTTCTGCTTGTCAGCTGTTC